TCACAATTAATGAGCCAATATTGATACATTATTACTAACCAAAGTTCATACTTTATTTAGATTTCCTTAGCTTTTAGTCTCATATCCTTTTTCTGCTCTAGGATCCCATCCTGGAGTAATATGAATTTCCTGCTTTTTATCATTGTCATCCCACATCAATTCACTGACTCTTTTGAAGTAGCCATGCCCAACATACAGAATAGGCAAATAGCTGACTCTAGCTCCTTAGGCCCCCTTTCCCTCTTGCTTCCAATCCCCCTTCTCTGAGGCTCCATTGCCCAAATTTTTGAGGGAAAAATAAGGATGCACATTATATATGATTATAATGATTACATAACCATAGATATAATAATGGGTATAATAATCCCATATATAATGCGCACAAAAGCATGGGTGCATGTCATACGTGGCAAAATATGGTATTTCTTTTCAGTTCTTATACACTTATTTTTTTCTTATCTCACTACATTGTTGAGCCCTTTGTCCTCTAGTACATTATTAAAGAGGAACAGTGATGATGAACATTTTGTCTTGTTTCTCACTTTACAGATCAGTATGATGTCTTCTGTAGATATTTAGTAACATACACATCAGGTTAAGGAAATTGCCTTATATTCCTTACTTACTAAGAATATTTTTCATGGTAAGAATTGAAAACTTTTTGCACCTATCAGAATGAAAGTAGAGTTTTTCTTCCTTAATATCTTAATGTGAGTTCAATTATTACATAATTGTTCCTAATAGATCATGATATATTATTTTTTGTGCACACTGTTAGATTTGGCTTATTCACTTCAGATTTTTGCATCAACAGCATCTGGCACAAATAATGCCCCTTTTTAAATTACAAATTCTTTTATTACAAAATCATAAGCATGCAATTCTGTAACATAATAATATCACATTCAAGCACACCATATGACATTTTAGGTGAAATGTTCCAATTAAAACTATAAATTATTATGCCCATATTATTACCCTACCAACCACACTCAAGCAGGCATTACTTTTGCTGGACCCTGTATATTAATGTGTAAAATTAACTTGCCGTGTACTTTGTTTCACTTGTTTCTTTAATATGTTCAACTTTACAACTTTATTAAAAGTAAATGTATAATTAAAAAAATCACAACTATATAAATTAAAGTTGATTAAGATTAAGGATAACAATCTAGGTTTAAGAAGATCTGGTACAGCGAGGTCTCAGGATCTTTTCCTGAATGGAAGCACATATGAGGTAAGATCAAAGCTTCCAGGTGCTTCTCCCTAAGACCTCTGCCTTTCACTTCTCTTACAACCTATGTGGACAGCCCCTGAGTGCTGTTGAACTGCATTGCAAATGGGCAAGCCTCCCCAGCTGAGTCACATTCTATGCTCCATCTCCATTCTGTGAGATGCCACTTACAAGGTTTCCAATGTAGGGATTTCTGTAAAAAGTCCATACCCCATTCTTTTTCTGTCAGCTGTCCCTCTCTTCCACATTCATTTAACTGCCCCTCCCCACTTCTTGCCAGCCCTCATTCACTGTTTTCCATTTCTGCTATAAAGCATCATTCATCATGAGAGAACATATCATGTAGGTGGATCTGGTGTTACTTAATTCACATTGCCTCATCACAGCTAAGTACCATTTCTTTTATCTATTTCCCTCTACATCTGATAGATTCCACAAATTCACCCCTTTCTCCTTGAACTCAAAACCTTTGCCTCCACCTCTGACAAATTACCTTGCTATCTTCTCAGGGAGGACTGTAGACATCTATTGAATCCTATCCTCTGTTCTCCTTTTCTTTAATTTCACTTTATTGTTACTTATTCTGTAGACAATTTGGGGAACAGAAGAACCTCATGAAAAGGTGAATACACCAGACTCAGAGGAAAGAATGGAGAAAGGGAGGTTCAGAGAGTGCTACTTACTTCCTCTCGGTATTGTTTGAATCATTAAAAAATGATTTTCTTAATACTTATTCCTCTTCCTCCTCACCCATAATCTGATTTTTCTCATTATCCACAGAGATCAGAATGTCAAATGCTAACAACAACCACATCCAATGGTCTTCTTTATTCTTTTCCTCACATATACATCTAATGATATAAGGCATTGCTGATCTCCACCTATCTCTAATACCTGTTTCCTTTCGGTTCTCATCATTCTACTCTACCTGGGTTCTCTAAGTATTTAGTCAGCAAATGTTAACAAAGTGCCCAGCTTGTTTTAAATGCTATGCTAAAGGCTTGAGATATGTCAGTGAATAGGGAAACAAATAATGTAAGATTCCTGGGTTCTACCTCAGAATCTCCATGTCTGTACATAAGATTCAAGTTTGGGACCATGGTAAGAGGGACTACTGCCTCTCTAGCCTCAGTAAGTTGAAGTTTGATTTTTAAAGCTACTTGCTCCCATAGAAAATATAGTACTTTGGAAATAGTCCGAGGAAGTAAAGAAATAACATCTGTACCTGCCACAATTCTGTTTTTCTTTTTTATTGTGGTAAAATGTACACATAAGATTTATCATTTTAAAGTTTACAGTTCAGTGGCATTATAGTACATTCACATTGTTGTGTAACTGCTGCCATGGTCTGGCTCCAGAACTTTTTCATTATCCCGAAGTGAAATTCTGTGCCCATTATCTATTTAACCAAGAATGATTTTCATCTTCTCTTGCTTTCCTACTCAGATAACATTAGTTTCTTTTGTTTTTAGTCCATAAAGACTATGTATCTGACTACTTTTGCTCAAGATTATTTTATTAGAATTCACTCCTGTTGCTGTACATAGCTATACTGTAGTTTGTGTATTTTTGTTCCTAAAAGGTATCAAAGATAAAAAATACCAGATTCTAGTTAAAGTGGTAAGGACAGATTTTAATCAGTAATGTACTTTTGCAACAGGGAAAAGAGTGAACTGAACTCAATTTCAGTTTGCACAAAGGTCACCTTTTAAGGGGAGAATGAGGGAGTGGGGAGCGGGGCAAGCAGGGGCTCGGTAGAGTCGGAAAAGTGAAAAATTACAAAAAGGGAATGGAGACCAGTCCATGTGAAACCCACCTGGGTTTGCTAACTAAAGCTTATCAATGTTAGGCTCCTATCTTCCCCTAAGGCTGAGAGACAAGGGCCCTATCTTCAGGTGTTGGCTGGAACCAATAATAACTTCTTCTGGCGGCTTTGAATTTTCTAAGGTAGGCACTTTATGGCAGGCTGGGGTAATTCCCTAGAATGACCTAGAGCAGCCGTGAGCTGTCTCTCAAGATACCTTAGAATAAAGATATCTTCAGATGTATGAAGTTTTTTCTCCCCCAATTGATTTATGGGTTCTTTATAAATTCTGGATACAGGTCTTCTGTTAGTGATTTGTGTTACGAATGTTTTCTCTTACTCTGTGGCTTGCCCTTTTACCTTCTTAATGTTGTATTTTGATGAAAAGAGATACAAGTTCTTAATTTGAAGGACTAGATTTATCAATATTTTCTTTTATGGTTAGTGCTTTCTAATGTCTTTTTAAAAATAGACTTTGTTTTTTAAGTTTTAGGTTTAGTTTTAGGTTCACAGCAAAATTGAGCACAAGTTACAGAGAGTTCCTATACACTCCCTGCCCCTACACAAGCACAGCCTCCCCAGCTATTGATATTCAGAACTGTCATGGCATACTTGTGTATGTTATTATTGGTGAAGCTACTTTGACCCATCATTATCACTCAAAGTCCATAATTTTACATTAGGGTTCCCTCTTAGTGTTGTACATTCTGTGGGTTTGGGCACATGTGTAATGACATATATCCATCATTATAGCACTTTACAGAATAGTTTCATTGTCCTTACAATCATCTCTCCCCACTAACCCTTGATAACCACTGATATTTTTACTGTCTCCATAGTTTTGCCTTTTCAGGAATGTCATATTATTGGAATAATACAATATGTAGACTTTTGAGATTGCCATTCTTCATTTATATATGCATTTAACTTTCCGCGGTCTTTTCTTGGCTTAGTAGCTCTTTCTTTTTTAGCATTGTCCAATAGTCCATTGTCTGGATTTCCACAGTTTATTTATCCATTTGCCTACTTAAGGACTTGCATCCAAGTTCTGGCAATTATACATAAAGCTGCTATACACATCTATGTGTAGGCTTTTGTGTGGTGATAAATTTTCAGCTTATTTGGGTCAAAAACAGAGAACATGATTACTGATAAGAGTATGTTTAGTTTTGTTAGAAACTGCCGAACTGTCTTCCAAAATGGCTATACCATTTTGCAATCCCACCAGCAATGAATGGGAGTTCCTGTTGCTCCACATCCTCACCAGGATTTGATGGTGTCTATATTTTGAATACTACATTCTAATAGGTGTGTAGTTGTATCTCATTGTTGTTTTAATTTGCCATTCCATTCTGACATATGATGTTGAACATCTTTTCATATACTTATTTGTCATCTGTATAGCTTCTTTGGTAAGGTGTCTGTTCCTTTCTTTTGCCCATTTTTACTTGGGTTGTTCATTTTCTTATTGTTGAATTTTAGGAACTCTGTATATTTTGGATAACAGTCATATTTAGTATTTATGCATAACATTCACTTTCTGTTCCATGTTCTCCCACCTTTGAAGAACATTAATAATGCACCTGCCCTTGCAGGAGCATTTGAACCTTAGTTCCTAGGTTCAAGAGTCTGAATTTGTGTCTAAAATTCCATGGGGACATTTAGTATGAGATCATCTGGTTTTGATTTCCCCCCTCCTTGTTTTTTGGGGCCTCAGAAGAGACTGCCCCTAATTCAAAGATACAAAGTCTCACTACCCCTTAAGGGGATGTGTGGGTGTGAGGGGGCGGTGGAGTTGTGGTGTGTGCAGCTCAGAATAGTGGAACAACACCTTTAGTTTTAAATGGACAGTAACTATCACCTATTGGCCAAATAAATAGATGTTGATCATGTGAGTTCTCTAAGTAGCTTGGTCATGTGCTCTTTTGCAAATAGTTATTAGTGAAATTCTGTCCTTTTCAGATGTGCGTTCCAAACGGGAGTATGATGAAAGCCATGTGATAACAGCCCATCGAGTGAAGAAGGTATACTGGCAGAGCCAGCATCTGGGGCAGGCTGGCTACCTTACAGGAGTGTGGGGAGGGTAGGAAGAAATGGAGGTTTTATCTTAGATCAAGGAGGCGGCACCTACTGTTCAATGCTGTGGGCAGCATAGGCAGGCAGCATGGACAGCACACAACATCCCTGTGCATCCACTGTGAAGGGTCTCCCCACTTCTCACACACTTCCTAAGGTGTCGCTCCCACCCTCATGATCAACAATTTCATTAAGCAAATATTGATTTAATTTCTTTATGTACCAGGCACTGTTCCAGACCCTGGGTATAGAACAGAATACAGGAGGCCTTTAATTCATTGTCCCTAACCTCATGGAGCTTTTGTTCTACTTAGGGAACAGACCATAAGAGGGTCTATTCCATATACATTTGTCCAACATGGTTTGTCCTACCTAGGGAATAAACCACATAGTCAATATAACGCAAAGATGGAAGCTGCTCCCTTTCCTTTCCATCTGGTCCCTTCCTAACTTCCTTTCTCCATTCCAACTATTTAAAAAGACAGAGCCCTGCAGCAGTTTCCATGCCCCACTCCTGCAGTGAGGCCCTTTTCTCCACCCCTACAAGTATCTTCTCTCTCAAATTGTTGTCAAGCCTGGCAGCCTTCACTCAGGATCCATCTCTAGTCTTTGCAGTCCTGACCACTTTCTCTGCATTTGACTTTCAGGTTCTCTCTTGCTTCCCTGGTTTCTTTTCTCTCTCTCTTTGGTTCAGCTACATTTTCTTCTTCTGCTACCTATAAAGAAAACCACTGGTCTATCCTTAGTTTCCTTTGTATCTGTTAGGACACTTTCTTGCTTGGAGATTTCACCCAAGCTTCCAGCCTCAAGTATCTATGTAGTTGAGCTGTCCTGCCAATTTTACTTCTAAAAATATCTCATAAAATTCCCACTGCCACTGTGCTGTTATGCATTCTAACTCTGGCTCTTTCCCACACCTAACTTGAGAGGGAGCACAGGCCCTGGCTCAAGTATTTTTCCAAGATAATCTTGCTGCCTAACAAGCTTCCCCTAAACCAATCCATCAATATGTGTTGTGGGGTTTTTTCCTTTTTTTTTTTTTTTTTTTTTGCCCCTGGATTTTCAATTCTCTGACTCCATCCTCTAGCTCTGAATCCCCATTTCAGGCCTTTCCCTGCTTTTTGCAGTCTATTCAGAGCCCCTTCATGATGCATGGCCCTCAGCTCCCAGTTTAGCTCTCAAATCTGCACATTCCTTTGATTCTGACAGCACCCCTAACTCTGGGAAAGAGCCATTCTCTCTGTTTTAGCTCTTCAGAACCCCTTAGCCAGATTGACACCTCTTTCCTGCTCTCCCCCAATGTTTTGCCAGCAGATTGCAGGCCTTCAGGGAGCTCCCAGGCCCAGCAGGACACAGAGCCCTTCAACTCCATGTTCACGGCCTTTTCTACCTGATTCCACCTCCCTCTCCAGCCTCACCTCTGCATGCTTCTACTCTCTCCTGCCACCTCAACAGCATGCCCTGCTGTGTTTCCTTGTTCTAAGATGCACATACTCCCTTGACCCCCTTATTTTAACATTTCTGACATTGGAATATATCCTACAGTCGATCTGCACTTTGAATGTGGTACTGTCTTTTTTTTTCCCCCAAAAGCACATTGGTGGACATGTTATTTTATGCCTGGCTCCCCTCTCCACTTGTTGAAGGGGAACTTCTCCTTTCCCAGTTCAAACCATGGGGATCTAGTGGTACTCCCTAAAATAGTGTCCAGATCCTGTCCACACATCAGCTAAGGATGAACACTGAACAAATCAGAATTGGAATTGAAGAAGGCAGCTCTTTCTGTTCTGTTGGTAGTGTTTGGAGGATGGGAGTCTGAGCATTTATGATGGCCATGACTTAGGCTTCTGGAAAAGTTGTCTGAGAAGGTGAAGTCAGAGTGCCAGGAAAGCAGAGGAGCAGGGTCTGAGAGGGAGGTTTGGGCTTTACAGCCCTTGTTCAGGTTTTCCTGGGGTCCAGCTGCTCCATGCCTTGCCTGAAGTATTGGTATAGGCCAATAGATACCTCCTTTTATATGCATTCCTGATTGCAACTGTTGTTAAACTGATGGTGCATCTTAGAAGCAATGATCTCTTAAGATGTAGGAAATAGAGTCCGTGTGATCCCCTAAATACACTGCTCTCTCTGAGCACAGGAGAGTGTGTACTTTGCTCATCATTGTATCCTGGATGCTCTGTCTGGTCCCTGGCATCTGGCTGGTATCTATTTGTTGACCAAAGTGAATGACTGGAAGCTATTCCTTCTGCCCCAAACACCCCCCCAGCCCTTGTCCATCTGGAGAATTTCCTCTTGCCTTTGCAGTCTCAGCTCAGATGCCTCTACCCTCCCTGTGCACTTTTGGAGTCCTCCAGACCAACTCAGGCATTTCCCTTTAAAAAACAAACAACCAAACCAAATAAACAAACAAACAAAAAAAGCAAAACCCCCCCTCTCTATTCCTGAACTGAGCACAGTGTAAGTACAAAGTAGGTCCTGGAAAAATGTTTATTGAAAAAACAAATAAATGTCTAGCCACATCTCTCCCTGCTCTCCCACCTGCTCTAGACTCTATGGACTGTTCCCACCTTTCCCTTTGCTCATGCTCTTTTCCACATCCACACCCCGCTTTCCTTATTATCACCTGTCTAAATCCTGCTCATCCTCTGAGCACCATCTGTCTGCTAATTCCTTTAGACAAACATAATTTCTCCCCTTTAAGTCCCAGAGAACATCCCTGATCTATACCTGCATAGGCCTTACCTCCCTGCCTTGTGGTGGAGATGTGCAGTTGTCCTATCCCACCTACAGGTCCTCTGTCAGGGCTTCTGTGTCAGCCAGACAGGTTGTAAGAGACAGAGTTAGGCTCAGGTTTCCCTGAGTAGTGGGGGCTTTTGGGAAGCATTGAGAACAAATGAGGACTAACCTCTCAGCTGCCGCCCAGCCAGGCCTTCTGGAGCTCTGGAACACCATGTGGGATCCTAGGCAAGTCTGGTTCTGAGAGAACTCATTCCCCTCTTAGCAGGAGGTATCCATCATTCCTGCCCCTGCAGTCCATCGTGATGGTGACTGAACTACTTCCTGACTACTCTCCATGATCTCGTGGACCTGTTTGCCCACTCCTTCCTTTCTTCATATTTATGGCCTTACATGCCAGGCAGTGTTCTAGAAGGTCAGGATACATCAGTGACTATATAAGGACAAATGTTCCCGCTCTCACAGAGTTTATATTTGAGCTTACAGTTGGCCCAATTTTATCTGCTTGCTTATGACTTCTGCTTATTCAATCTTCTGCTTACTGCCCTCTTATGGGGGATTTTGGTTTTGGCCCATATGGGTGACCACTTGCCCCCAGAGAGAGATCTTAGTTCAGTTGGTGGGTCAGTAGGCCAGTGATTCTTTGGCCAGGCACTTATCTCTGGTCCAGTCAGTTGTGATCAGCTTTTCACATTAGGGGATGTGGATATGGAAGATCCTTGGAATTTAGTAGACCTTCAGTCAATTCTTAGTACTTCAGTGCCCATGTGTAGTCAAGAAAACAGGCATAGTCCTACCTCTATTTCCTCCCAGAGCTGGTGTGCAGGGAATATTTGCTCAACTGAACCCATCTGCTAACAGGCTTCTTTTGTGGTTTCTTTAGAAGGCAAATGAATATCTTATCCCGGAGTCTGTGGATCTGGAATGTGTAAAGTACTGTGTAGTATATGATAGCAATACCAGCTCCCTGGAGGGAATCCTAAAACATGATGATGATGATGATGATGATGATGACAACTCTTACAATAGAGGAGAAGGTAGGTTTTTACACTAGCTATAAGAATAATAGTTAACAGTTATTGAACACTTTTGCCACATGCCAGGAACCATGCGAAGTGTTCTACCTGGGTTAATTCGTGCAGTCCGCAGAATATCCCCATGAGGATGACAGTATGAAGAACCAGGAAGGGTCTGGATTTTTCCTTCCTTGCAAGATGATAAGTGAGCCTACCACCATTTCAGAGATGTTGGCTGAGGACATAGGTTCCTGGGTTGGAGACAAAGGACTTTATTACTCAGGGCAATAAAAGTAACCAGAATGTCATCATTTTCCTGCACTGGTGCCCCCCAGTGTCTAGCCACATCTCTAGACATTGATAGAGAGCAGGCCGGTTGCTCTGGGGTTGGGGGTTAGGGTTGGAGGGGTTGAGCAAAAAAAAGAAAGGACTCATGGACATGGTTAACAGGGCGGTGATTGTGGGGGGATGGGGAGAGGGGGTGGAGGTAGAAGAGGGTATAAGGGGGATAAATGGTAAAGGAAAAAATAAAATAAAATGTAAAAAACATGGTGGGATGTGGCAACTCAATTGAAACCATATCACCACATTGAGACAGTTCTTACAGGGTGACATGAGGAGGGCCAAGTACACTTTTCCATGCAGGTCATTGTATTATAGGAGAAGAACTCTGAGCATAGGGGGCCTGAATCTTATGTAATGGGCAGAAAACCTGCCCATCCTTGGCTCTGAAGGAAAAAACTGTCTCTGTTTTCCAAAGCTGTTGGTTATACAAATATCCTTGAAAAGCCAGAGCCTCATTTAAAGAACATGTAGAGACATCCAAGATGGAGGCAGGTAGGTGGAAGCTACACTAACCTGCTCCCAGGAACAAACTAGAATTATGACTAAATTATAGAGAAGTCATCCTGAATAACCACCTGAACACTAGCTAGAGAGAAGCTGCATAACCAAAGACTTACCAAAGAAACCATATCACCACATTGAGACTGGTAGGAAGTGCAGAGGCATGAGAGGGCTGGCTGGGCAGCCATGTGTGACAGCTGAAGTTCTAGAGGGATATTTCAGTGGCTGAGGGGCATTCCCCCTGAGAAGTATGGGGTCTAAACTACAAGCTAGGCTCCCCAGTCTAGAGAACTAGAAACAGGAAAGGAACCCAATAACATCTGGCTGTAAAGAGCAGTGGAGTTTCTGTCTGCCAGGGTGAGATGGCTGGAGATGCAGAGAGCCTCTTACAGGGCCAACTCACAAAATATCATTTGCTGACACTTACTCTGGGCTCCAGCAGAGGGAGGGCAGAGTAGATTAGAGACATGTCAGGAGAGTCTGAGGCTGGTGGCTCTGAGGAAAGAGCTGAAGAAGCAGCCACCAGGATCCCTGTGCTGAGTCATTCCTCATACTGCAGAAGCCATCTTTTGCAGGCAAGAACACTCCCCTCCAAGTGGCATCAGCCTGAGGGGAAGCAATAGCCTCACCCATAGGAATCCCTCTTGCCACACCCTTTGGAACTTGGGCCAGGCTGCTGAGTACAGCTTGAGGCTATTTTAGTGATTAAGTAACTGCAAAGGTGGATCTCTGGGAGCTCTGAGACTTTAGCTGACCCTTCTCCAGGCCCAGTGCTGGTAAAAGCTGGCCTTGGTGCACAGCCTGGTTCTTTTTGCACACATCCAGAATCAGCACAGGGAGCCACAAGCTGTGAATCACTGATAACTCCAAACTAGTTGTCTAGGGCCAGTCACAGTCGGCATCTGACATAGGTCTCCACCAGAATCTTTGCAGATATACCTAGTACATACAAAGAGGCAACCAAAATGTGAAGACAAAGAAACAGGCCCCAAATGAAAGAACAAGAAAATACTCCATAAGAACTAAGTGAAATGGAGGCAAGCAATTTATCAGATATAGAGATTAGAGAAATGGTTATAAGGATGTTCAACAGCATGAAAACGGACATAGGAACCATTAAAAAGGACCATTCAGAAATAAAGTATCCAAGATCTGAAATAAATAATACACTGGAAGGAGTTAATAGTAGATTGGATGAAGTAGAGGGTTGAATCAGCAATTTGGACAACAAAGTAGGAAAAAAGATCCAAGTAGAGCAACAAATGAATTAACAAGTAAAATAGAGACAGACATAGATAGAGAGCAGGCCGGTTGCTCTGGGGTGGGGGGTTAGGGTTGGAGGGGTTGAGCAAAAAAGAGAAAGGACTCATGGACATGGTTAACAGGGTGGTGATTATGGGGGGATTGGGTGAGGGGGTGGATGTAGAAGAGGGTATAAGGGGGATAAATGGTAAAGGAAAAAAATAAAATAAAATGTAAAAATTAAATAAATGACTTGTAGAGATGTGAGAGGCCATAGAAAATTATCTTGTAATAGGTAACATCCCCATTTTATAGGTGGGGAAATTAGGGCCCAGAAAGGCAAAGTAACTTGCCCAAGACCTTACACCTAGTGGATTAGTTATCTATTGCCATGTAGAAAATTACCTCCAAATTCAGTAGCATGATGTAGCAGACATTATCTCATAGTTTCTGTGGGTCCAGAATTCAGGAGCACCTTAGCTGGCAGGCTCTGGTACATCTTTCTTTAGGTTGTAGTCAAGATGTCAGCCAGGGCTATTATCATTGGAAAGTATGACTGGGCCAGGATGATCTGCTTCTGAGATGATTCACTCACATGGCTATAGCCGGAAGGCCTCAGTTTCATTCTGGCCGTTGGTAGGAGACTTCAGTTCCCAGTCACGTAGACATCTCCCTAGGACTACTTGCACAGCCTCATGACATGGCAGCCAGTCCCCACCCTCCGACCACCCCAGTGAGTGAACAGAGAGAGAGAGAAAGGAAAAGCCAGGCTTGGGGCTTATATATAGTCATTTCTGCCACATTTGATTCACTAGAAGGAAGTCATTGAATACAGTCTACTCTTACAGAGAGGGGAATTAGACCCAACCTTTTAAAGAGAGGTATTTGAAAGAATTTATAGACTTTTTTTTTTTAAATCAGTAAGTGCTGGGGTCAGTATTCAAGACCAGGCAGTTTGGCTCTGTCCAGTCTTCTAAGGCCTGGGTAATGATGTGGGAGAACCATGCAAAGTCACTCCAGCCCTGAGCTGGAGCATTAAAACATGGTTGGTTGTAATTTGCTTTAATGATGCTCCATAGCAGTTTCCATTCAGCCTCTGCTTTGGGCTGACCACCCCTGGCCGTTGGCATGGGGCTCTGCTGTTTGTGGCTCAGTCACTAATTCACGTGGGTGGTTCTATGGCCTGGGGCATTCATACCAATGGTCACTGGGTGGCACTAGGCTTCCACCTTTAATAAAACTAGTCTTCCCAGGAGGTCCTTAGCCAGGAAATTATTCCCTCTTCCCCAAGCTTGTCTTGCTGGCTTCTGGTCTGCAATCTTGGGAACAGTGGTCAATAAAGGTGACCCCCTCTCAATTCTATAAGTGACCTCACTGTGCTATGGAGTCCTTGTTCTCCCTGGGTAGGAAACCACAATCACAACAACAGCAACACAACAAAAATCAAAATCACACACACAGCTTGCCCACTTAAGACAACTTTCTCCTTTAAAGTGGATATCTTTCAGGTAAATGTAGACTCCTTTGGGTAAAAGACCATTTAAAGGTTTCTCTCACCACCCCCTCCCCTTCTCTGCTCTTAAGCACCCACCTTCCTGACCCCCATGGAAATCTGGGCATGGGGGGGAACCATCATCATGTCTTAGAAGGAGATTTTGGTCTCTGTGTAGTCCTTTCCTGATGGCTTCTGGATAAGATCAAGCTCAGCCTATGGGACCTTTGGCCATGGGCTGTGTTTGTGGCCAAAATGTCCATGTCTAGTGTAAGTCATGAGTGGTTACCTCCACCTTGGCAGGGCATGGCACTGGCTCCTGGGGGACTCAGCCTTGTGCCCTCTTCCTCAGGCTCCCCCTGATCTTACACACGTGTTCCTGATCCCTGGGCCTGCTGCAACTTCTAGTGTTAGATTAACCACTCGCCACCCCACCTCTGCTGTGGGGGTCTCAGAACCCTAGTGGGAAATGGGACAAAAGCCATTTTTAGCACATACCCTTCCCCCACACTAGCCAGTATGTTTCTACCCCTTTAGTTGGGTGTCTTCTTAGGAACCCAGGAAGTATGTTCCCTTGTCTTGGCTTCTGGGATGCTCTCTCTAAGCTCCTTTTAGCATGCAAAAGTCAACCTCCTTCTTTTATGAGCAACATTTCCCTTATGTTAAAGCATCCTTCCTTGCTTGCTTTACATGGGTTACAGGCCCCCACAATGAGCTCATGATATGTGTGGGTGGAGTTTCCTGGGCCAGGACACTTACACCAACTATGAAGGGAAGCTTTGGGAATTTGGGGATTTCTTTCCTCCTTCCTCAACAAAACCGAACGTCAAGACAAGTATTTGGCTAAGGACCTCAAATAATTTAACTTAAAGCTCAGGCTGAGTGGTAACTCCTTTGTACCAGGTGATCACCCCCTTCCCCTGAAGCCGTGGGTGCCCCAGTTCAAGGGGTGAGAAACCTGATGTCAACAGAGAACCTAGGATTAATGGGAACAGAGATGAATGAACTTAATGTTTCAAAAACATTAACTTCATTACATGCTTGGCTGGATAACCTGGGCCCTGGGATGGCTCTTCATCCAAGTCTCTAATTGTCTCCTGGAAATCAGCCTTCCTCCATCTCTGACCCCATCGCCCCCGTGTGTGAATACTCCAGATGGTCATGTGGCATTGGCAGAGGAGCAGCTGTCTAGTACACTAGTTGTACTATGTACAAATAGGTGAATTGTATGGTATACAATATGTAGCACACAATATATGATACTATATATATTTACAGAAAAAAATGTTAACTTTCTTGGTGGTAAGTTGCTTTTAAATTTTAACTGTGATACCCATCTCTATTTATGTTTGCTTCAGCTTCCTAGATAATTGCTTTTCAGAATAAAGTGGCCATTCATTGGAGCTTTAGATAAATGGTGAACCCACAGGAAACATACATTTCTTTGGTCTTCACTTTTAGAACTCATGCTTGGAGCTGCCATCAAGTGTGGCAGAGCCTTGGCCCATCTTACCCGCCACCCCATCTATATCCTGAAAGGGGGATATGAGTGCTTCTCAGCCATGTACCACTTCTTCCGGACGCAGAAGATCATCTGGATGCCTCAGGTAAGGCAAGGTGCTGAGCACAGCAGGCTCAGATGGGAGCATGGCCTTCCCTTGAGGACCACAGGGTAGGGAGCAGAGTAGGAGAAAGAGAAGGAGACAGCCAAGAGAAATAACTGCACATGTTTAAAATGTACAATTTGGTAAGTTTTGACCTGTATAGACACCTGTGTCTTGCCCCAGAGAGGAGGGGAGGTAGTACCAGGGCCTGGTCAGGAGTGCTCTCCTAGTTGTTTGTGGTCTTCTCTAAAAGGTAGGTGTCTACTATTTGCCTCTTCCTGCTCTGTTACTAATTCAAGAGCAAGAGTGGAAACTCCACTCTCTTCCTGTTATTGTTCTGATGCACTGTAAAGCAGGGAGCTCCCCAAGGAACTCCTTATATGAGTAGAGATGGAGGCACCAAATCTGGGCTCTGAGACTGCCCCTCTACCTTAGATAGAGTGACTTATAATTTCCTGTTTTACATGTGGCATCCATTAAGTAAGATTTCACCTTGAGCAAAGGGGATTTGTAACTAAAAGAAATGTGAAGGCCCTACTAGAGAGAGATGATGGTGAGACACTAAATGGTTTTACCTTGAGGGTGGCATGGTCAGATTACACTTAGATGAACTCTGATTGCAGTGCAGAGAGCAGAGCAGTGGGGACAGAGCAGATTTGGGGAGACCTGCTAGAAGGTATGGATGGAGAGGAAGCGATGGATTCAAGAAATACAGAGGAAGTGGCATTGATTAATATGGGGCAGGGGCGATGGGAGAGGAAGGAGCAGTCTAGCATAATGCTGTGGTTTAGGTGTGGGTGACAGATGGTCTGTGGTGTGGCTCTTTGAGGTGGTAGACACAGAAGGAGGATGCAGGGTGAGGGAAAGGCAGTAGGCTCAGTTTGGACATGTTAGTTTCAGATACCTGTTTCTTTTTAATTTAAAGAAGACTAATTGATGTATGTATGTATGTATGTATTTATATAGTTCATTCCTACCTGAGGACATTTTTCCATTGCTTGTAGAGAGAGGGGAAAGAAGGGGAGAGAGGGAGAGAGAGACAGACAGACATCGATATGAGGGAGAAACATAAGGATTAGTTGCCTTCTTGTATGTGCCCTGACTGGGAATCAAACCTGTGACCTTTCAGTCTATAGACCATGCTCCAACCAACTGAACTACAATGGCCAGGTCCAGATACCACTTTCCTTTACATTTGTTATTGGAGCTGCGAAAATTGTGTCATCTAGAATTAACACCTTGCTTGCTCTTTAGAGCACAGCATGCTTTTATTCATACCACACACACCTCCCCTGCAGCCTGCACAAGCATAGGAAAGGAAGCTCATCTGAAAGCAGCAGAAAGAGAGTTGATAGATTTGTGATGGACATTTAGTGAGATCTTACAAATGGAACTAGTTTGGCTCCAGCAAGCTGAGTGTCCCGGGTGAGGTCAGCCTGAGCCCTGGGAATGCTTTGGGTCACATCTGCAAATGGCAGGCCTAACTGCAGGTAAAAGAGCGGTGAATTTCACACAAACTCGAAGATTTGCTCTACCTGCTACCTGTTCTTTGACAGAAGTTTTTGAGGCTGACAGTTGGGAAGGATGTTGGCTTGCAGTGGGTTCACTGGGAAGGGAAATATGCTGAGGCCAGAAGGGTCTGAAGCACTCAAGTAGACAGTGAAGTAGCTTGAGACACTTAAGATGGTATTTCTGAGCCAGACTTAGAGCCAGAGGAGCTTTTAGAGCTGGGTTTGACCTTTGAAGTTATATAGGTCAGCATTTCCCATGGAATACTGATGGGAAAAAATTATGACTTAACAGATATTAGAAATTTCAGTTTACACAACGTTAGTGGACTTCTTTAAAAAAAAAAAGATTTTATTCATTTATTTTTAGAAAGATGGGAAGGGAAAGGAGAAAGGGAGAGAAACATCAAAGTGAGAGAGAACATTGATCAAACATTGATCGTTTGCCTCCTGTATATGCCCTACCAGGGATCAAACCCGCAACCAGGGATGTGCCTGGACAGGGATTGAACTGGCCATCTTTTGCTTTACTGTGCGGTGCCGCTCAACCAACTGAGTCATGCTGGTCAGGATTCTTTTTTATTTTTTTGAGTTTTTGTCTAGGTTTTATTTTACTATCACAAGTACATTTTCGATTCATGACAACAATAACTATGTAGCCACTGTTTTATTGTAAACATCTGAGCAGTAAGGGGTGAGCCCAAGGACCAATTAGAAAATTTTTCACCAGCTCTGTTCCCTGGAGGCACATTTTGAGAACAATCTTAGACTTGCATGCTTTTCTGGCTGTTTTCCAACTTGTTTATAAAATTAGTTTTATTATTTGATGATGGGTTTTTTTCCTAACCACATGATTGGTGCTCTAATAATCTTTCCTTGGAATAATCATTTTTACAGTTTCTCCCCAGCTTTATTGGTATGTAATTGATACATAATAAGTTTAAGGTATACAACAACATGATGATTTGAGATATATATATATATATATATATATATATATAGTGAAATGACTACAATAATAAGGTTAACACATCCGTCTCCTCACAAAATTATCTTTTGTGTATGTGGGGTGAGAACATCTACACTCTTAGCAACTTTCATGTATGTAATACATGTTGTTAACTGTAGTCACCGTGCTGTATATTAGATCCCCAGGACTTAATTCACCTTATATCTGGAAGTTTGTACCCTTTGACCAACATCTCCCTAGTCTCCCTCCCTGCCCCAGCCCCTGGCAACCACTACTCTGCTCACTGTTTCTATGAGTATGGCATTTTTAATATCCACATATAAGTGAGATAATTTGTTTTTCTCTGACTTATTTCACTTATCATAATGCCCTCCAGGGCAATCTCTGTTATTGCAAATGACAGTATGTCTTACATTTTCACGGCTGATACACACACACACACACACACACACACACACACCCATATTTTCTTTATCCACTCATCCATTGATGGACACTTAGGTTGTTTCCATGTTTTGGTTATGTAAATAATGCTGCAGGGAGCGTGAGGGTGCAGATATCTCTTTGAGATAGTGATTTTGTTTCTGTTGGATATATACCCAGAAGTGGGACTACTGGATCATATGGTAGTTCCATTTTAATTCTTTAGGAACTTCCATACTATTTTCCACAGTGGCTGTAGTTAGTGGATTTCTTTACTGCTGGACTTCTTTGAGCCTTTCAGTGCTAATGTAAATGGTGAATTTCTGAGAGTGGGATATCACAGGTACTGCTTCCCATATGTGCTTGGTTTTCTGAACCTTTTTTTCACAGTGAATTGTGAGGGGCCAGTGTTTCCTAGAACACACTTCAGGAAAGTAGCTTTGGGCCTGGAATTTAGTAAGCTTCCATTTAAGTGGTGACCTGTTCTCCCTACCTCTTTATCAGTACTCATCAGAACATCATCAGAATTCATTTGCTAATGACAAACAGGCTCTCGTGAGTAGTTTCATTGCTTTTCAAGTGTATTTAATTACACTCTGGTGGCCTCCACTGTAATTAAAGGGTTATTCTTCTCCATACTTGCTGTCCCCCAGTGAACATACCCTGGGGTTAGGCAGTTGTTGGCTGTGGGATATTAGACTCCAATTGTTAGACTCCTCAGTCAAATGGAAACAGGTACTGTGGAGGGAAGAAGGATGCTGGTGTTCAGAGTCAGTCATCACATTGTACCACGATGCTATGCTATGGTCTTTTGTTCTTTTTGTTACTACCAGCCCTATAAGTCCTTGTGCAAGTTATTACTTGCCAATCTCTTTGAATGCCCAAATCTCAATTTCATGCACTGTCCTGGATTATCTTTCTAAGCTTGTTTGCTGGACCACATTTCAAGAGGCCAGTCCTGCAGCTCCCCCGTCCCAAACCCCAAATGAAAACAACTTCTTCCCTGAGGAATATTTATAACAGCCTTTCTTCTTTTTCCACCTCAGGAACTGGATGAATTTCAGCCATACCCTGTTGAAATAGTGCCAGGCAAGGTCTACCTGGGCAATTTCAGGCAAGCCTGTGACCCTAAAATTCAGAAGGATTTGAAAATCAAAGCACATGTCAATGTCTCCATGGAGACAGGGCCATTGTAAGTAGCAATACTATTTTTTTAAAAGATTTTATTTATTTATTTATTTTTAGAGAGGGGGAAAGGGAAGGAGAAAGAGAGGGAGAAAAACATTGATATGCGAGAAATACACTGATTGGTTGCCCCTTACATGCCCCCAGCTGAGGGCCTAGTCCACAACCTAGGCATCTCCCCTGACTGGGAATTGAACCAGCGACCTTTTGGTTCATAGGCTGGCAGTCAGTCCACTGAGACACACCAGCTAGAGCACAATACAATCGATTTTTTTTTAAAATCATTTATTGATTTTTTTTTTTTGACAGAGAGAGACATCAACCCATTGTTCCACTTATTCATGCATTCTTTGGTTGATTCCCATATGTGCCCTGACTGAGAGTTAAACCCTCAAGCTTGGCATACTGGGATGATGCTCTAACTGAGCTACCTGGCCAGGGCCACAATATTACTGATTTTTTTAAAGATTTAGTATCTTTTGTTTATATAATGCAAGATTCCTGCTTCCATGCACTTATAGAGTTGAAAGAGCTCTTAGAAATAAGCAGGCCCTGTAGTACGGTCTGTACTTAACTTCATCTGTTCCTGGCCTATAGTCTTGTTTTCTGCCTTGGCTGTTGCAACCTCTGTCCCTAACTGAGACCACCAATACCTGCCCTTTAAATCTCACCAAGAGTAATACTTTCCTGGTATTTAACGTTAAGGTACAAAGTACCCTATTCTATCCTGAGATGCCTATCTCAGGCCCTCTGAGAAATAACCCCTGTGTTAGTCCATTCAGGCTGCTATAATGGAGTACTATACACTGGTGGCTTATAAACAACAGACATTTATTCTCATGGTTTGGAGGGTGGGGAATCCAAGATCAATGCAACAGGGATTTGCTGTCTGGTGAGAGCCTGCTTTCTGGCTCACAGACAGCCATATTTTCATTGTGTCCACACATGGTTGAAGGGGCAAGGGAACTCTTTGGGGCCTCCCATCCATAAGGCTCAACTCTCATGGCCAGTTTTACATTCCCACCTTAAACAACTAAAAAAACCCAGACAACACATCTAAAACAACGGTTTCTGGACAGTGGTTATAGCACAGAACAGTGATCCTTGAGAGAAGGGGAAAAACCAAAGTGAGCCCCATAATCAACTTGGCTTATTTTTTGGAGATTGTTTGCACGTCACAGTACAGGAAGGGGACCAAAACAGATCCTGTCATTCTTTCTGAGTTGAGGGTATAGAGTCAAGAATTCAGAGAGGACAAGTTGGGTTGAATTCACAGGAGAGAACTGCATGGAGAATAGAGAACTGAATACAAAGAAAGAGCCTTGGATATCTGCAGAAAGAGCCTTGTGTCTTCAGCTAAGTATATATAAGCACATGCATGTGAGGAAACTGTTCAGCGTTGGGGGAAAAAAACACAGTAGAAATGAATGGGCAGTACAATCCTCAGAGATTATGTCGGGCTAGGAGTAGTTTGTGTTTCAAATCAGAGTAAACAAAATTCATAATATACAGGGCATCAAATAGAGAACTGAGAAGAGTATTGTCTCAGTAGTGAGGAAAAATTAACCCAGGATTAGGGATGAAAAATCCTGTGTCTGAGGTGAAAAATATACTGGATGGAATTAACAGCAGATTAGACACTATAGAAAAAAAGATTGGTGAACTTGAAGATATAGCAATAGAAAGTGTCCAAAATGAAACATAGGAAAGAAAAAGACTTAAATAAAAAGAACAGAGCTTTAGTGAGATTGAGGCAGTTTCAAGTGGCCTACCATAGATGTAATTCGAATGTCCAAAGAAGAGGAAAGTGGGGAGGCAGAAAACGTTTGAAGATAACGGCCAGAAAATGTTCAAATTTGATGAAGAAAAAAACCCCTATAAATTCACAGATCCAAGCATCTCAACAGACAAAAAAACAAAACAAACAAAAAAAACCCACAATAAGGCGTATTTCTCAAATTGGCTAATACCAATGAAAATGAGAAAATCTTAAATGTAACTAGATAAAAAGATGCATTACATAACAAAGACAAAGATAAGGATGGTAGCAGACTTCATATTAGAAACAATGAAACTGAGAAAACTGAAGGACTGAAAGAAAAATGTAAACTTAGAAATATAACCAGTAAAAATATCTTTCAAACATGAATGGAAAATATTTTCTTTCAGGCATGCAAAAGTTAAAAAAATTCAACATCAACAGATGTGCACCACACAAAAAATTAAAGGAAGTCTTTCAGGTGAAAGGAAAAAAATACCAGATGGGAATTTGAATCTATATGAAAAGAATCAAGAACACCGGAAATGATAATTATGTAAAATACTTCCCTCCTTATTTTTAAATCTCTTCAAAATATGATTGTTTAAAGGAAAAATAATAATATATTTTGGGATGATAACATATGTAGAAGTAATATGGATGCCCATAACTTACTAAGACAGGAAGAGGAAAAATAGAAGTGTATACTTGTAACGTTCTTATTCTGTTTACATGAAATAGTCTAATGGTACTTGAAGGTAGACCACAATAAGTTAAATATGTATTTTATACACTTTTAAAAAACCACTAAAAAATAGAACAAAACAGGAAGGAATCAAGATGGTGGAGGAATGAATAGAAGTCACTCTACGTCCTCCCAGTACCAATCTGGAATTACAACAAAATTGTGGAGAAATCACCTGGAACAAACAACTGAAAAATAGAGAGAGAGGAGCCTTATAACCCCTGCCAGACAGAAGAATCAGCTTTAGCACAACCTAATTGGTAAGGACTGAGAAGGTAGGTGGGGCGCCCATGGGCAGCAGCGCCAGAGCGTTATTGAAACAGCCAATTGCATCCCCCTGGGAAGACTGGGGTCTAAACATAAGTGGGGATCTCCAGCCTACAGCACCAGAGCCCCAAAAGTACACAGATAACAGCCAGCTGTGAAAAGTGTCAAGGTTGCTCTCTGCCAGAGACAGGCACCTGGAAACGCAAAGAGCCTTTTAAAGGGTCAACGCATCAAATTTTTTTTTGCAGCCACTTACCCTGGTTTCTGGCAAAGGCGGGGACAGAGTGGGCTAGAGACACCTAAGGAGATACTGGGGAAGGAGGCTTTGGGGAGAGAACTGAGAGAGTAGCTAGCGGGATCCCGGTGCTGACTCATTGCCCAAACAGCAGCAGCCATCTTGCTCAGGCAGATGACTCCCCTGAGCAGCAGCAGGGGGAGAAGACACAATAACCCTACCCCCAGGAGGGACTCTGCCCTGCCCTGTGGTGTCTAAGCCTGACTGCTAAATGCAGAGTGACTAGATTAACAACTGGAGGAGACAGCCACAGACAGTAGATTCCTGGAAGTCTCGAACAGACTGCCTAAGACCAGACAGGGTCAACATCTGACATCATCAGAGGCAGATCCAGAAAGAAAAAATAGCGGTCTCCTACCATAGAAGTTCACACCACAAAGTCAGGAAATCAAGACAGATCAATTTAAGAAGCAAAAGCAAAAGAGAAGAGTCTCACAAATAATGGGAAGACAAAGAAACACCCCCCAGTTGAAGGGAAAGGAGGAGTCCCCAGAAAGAGAACTAAATGAAATAGAGGCAAGTAAACTATCAGATATTGAGTTCAAAATAACAGTTCTAAGGAAGCTCAATGTGCTCAGTGAGCTTAGAGAGAATTACCAAAAACCACAGGGAAACTATGAGGAACTTACTGCAAACTATATCATCATGAAAAAGGACATAGAAAATATCAGTAAGAGGCAAGAGGAGATGAAGAATACAATTTCTGAATTGAAGGACACAGTAGAAGGAATCAGAAGCAGGCTAGATGAAGCTGAGGATCAAATCAGCGAGCTGGAGGATAAGGTAGAAAAAAGCTCCCAAAAAGAGCAAGAAAATGAAAGACTCAAAAAGAATGAAGAGGCGTTGAGGAAGATGCAGGGCAACCTGAAACGTAATAATATCCATATAATAGGGATACCAAAAGGAGAAGAAGAGGAGGAAGGGATAGAGAACCTGTGTGAAAAAGTAATGATGGAAAACTTCCCTAATTTGAGGAGAGAAGAAGTCATACAAGTCTTTTTTTCTGTTTAGTTTTGTAGGCGACGCTGACAAGCTTCTGCATATCCAGATAGAAGACTCCCTTCAAGCCAACATTTTTCCCTTTTTGCGTCACCTCTGTCACTTCATTGGTAAGGCGCATTCTCTAACCAGACAGCAGCTGGCCTATGCCCTGAGGGCAAAGGGACTATGGCTCTTTATCCAAATACCTATTCCTGATTGCGACTCAGTGCTTAGGAGAGAAAGGATAGCACATGTCCAGCCAAGTGTGGACAGCCCAAGGACAAGCCTGACTCTCCAGGGCCCTCGCAATGTGGATAGCCATGATTTTACCTCCAGACAGTGGGGCCAAATAAGAGCTCTTGACTGGATCGAGCACCCTATGTTCTGGCCTTGGCTAGAATGGTAGGCCCTTTTGGGCCTGGACTCACTGCCCCTCTTGGCCTGTCATGAAATGAGGGTGTTGGTCCTCCATGTGTATATATGTTCATGGAGGCCTGCCGTGGGCTGTGCTCTGGTGACTCAGAGGTGGATCTCACTCTGTTCCTGCACTTTTATGTGGTCAGCAAAGTGGGATGGGAGGAAGACTCCAGAGCTTCTGACTTCTTTGATTTCCAGTGTGTATACCAAGTAGCCCTCTATTGTCCCACCACACACAGCAGAGCCCAATAGTCGCTTACCTCACTAAAAATCCACTGAAGGTGGATTTTTCAGTCATTTCCAGGGCTCAGGATTGCCCAAGTTGAGTAAAATCCTTGAACTGAGTGAGACTGAGTCAGGTCAGAGACCCCACCCTAGGACTGCCTACTTGGCTCCATCTCAGCCTCTAGCCTGAGTCACTGCACAAGGGGCCAGAGAATGGCATTTTGGTTCAAACATCTATTTGCCCAGGGCATTGCAACTTAACACTTGACCAGGAGCTGAGACGCAGATTTGCTCCATGCCCCACTTTGGAATGGCAGAGCTCTATGGCACAAAGATGCCCCATCGCCAGCCCCACCTCACCGGGTGGCTCTGAGACAGTCCTTAACTACTTGGTGCTTCAGTTTCCTTATCCTATGATGAGTCAGTTGGCCTTCATCATCCCTGAGTCCTGCTCCAGCACTGACAGTCTATGATTTTGCATTTGGGATGGTTACCTTCAGTTCTTGGGGGTTACCAAATCAGCCTAGAAGCCATCTTAGCTTTCCTCCCTACCCTTCACTGGGCAAGACTCACACACAGACCCACATCATTTTTAGCTATGATTATAGCAGACATTTCTGTGCCAGGCCCTGGGCTAAGCACAGCACAAAACCTTACAAGACAGGTTTTGTAAAATACTGTTACCCAATTTTCCAGATGAGGAAACTGTGGCACAACCAATGAGTGGCAGAGCCTGGATTTTCACTCAGACTAAACTGCCTCTATCAGCATGTGACCTTGGGGGGACGATCCTCTCTTCCCCACCCAGGGAGGCCATCTGGTAGCAGACCTTCCTCGTCTGAAAGCCTGGAGAGCCAAGAAAAGGCCTTTGCATGATAATGCTGAATGCTCAGGTGTGATTCTCTTGAACTGCCAGCTAGGTCAGAGAATCCCCAATTTCCAGGTGACCCTAGAGTTGTCACATGACTTGCCTAGAACATGGTATGCTCGTTCTAAACCCACTCTTGGACCCACTGAGGCCAGTCATCTTATAGCAAATTCAGGTTCACGGGGAAGAGGACACATACAACACCCCACTCACCCATACAATGTTTCCTTCCTCTTACAGAAATCCACCTCAAGCTTGGCTCTGTTATCCTGGTATTTTCTACTCTGGGCATCAGTCGCAGCTGTGCAGCCATCTTGGCCTATCTTATGCATTGGAACGAGCAGACTTTGAAGGTATGTATTCCCTGGTCTAGGTTTGACCACAGCCACCTCCATGAGGTGACTTCTGAGCTCTACCTGGGAGAAATAGACCCTGGTACTGCCCCAGAGTCCTAATTGGAGAATGAGAAGAGGAAGGGTCAGGGAAGGGAGCTTCAAGTCCACCATATCCAAGGGCAGGTTCTAACTGCCTGGGCTAGAGGTCTGAGGCTGGGTACATGGGGCAGGCCCAGGGACTCTGCCTGGCAGCAAGGCTGCGGCTGGCAGCACCTTCTGCCTGTCCCCCACTGCCATTAGACTGTCCGTTAGGATTTGTTCATGGTTCTCCAGGTGAGGTGCATTTTTGTTGCTGCTTGTAGTCATAGAATTGCAGTACTGGCAGGGCTTCAGTGGGCATCCACTCCAACGATTCTTTTACCCTTGAGGGGAGCAGGGCCCAGAGAGGAGAAGGAAGCAGGGACCCATCACAACAAACCCCTTGGGAATCAGGGCTCCTGATCCCTAGGGAAGTGCTTTCCCACTGCCCAGTGTCCTAGGAGATGGCAGGCCTACCCTGAGGGGCAGGGGAGCCTTGCCTGGCACAGCTTGTACATGATTTCAGAGGACCTGTAAAGCTCCCACATTTGTCTGGGAGTGTCTCTAGGGGAAGGGGAGGGACAAAGGATGACCATGAAGAGAGCCTATCGCCAGTGATTTTGACTGTTTACCCTTTGAGGATGAAATTGCTGGCCAGAAAGAGTCTTGGATATACAGCAATTCCACTTCTGGGTATACATCCAAAAGAAGTGAAAGCAGGGACTCAAAGAGGTATTTGTACACCCATATTCATAGCAGCATTATTCATAAGAGCCAAGGGGTAGAAGCAAACCAAGTGTCCATTGACAGATGAATGGATAAATAAAATGTGCTCTATCCATTCAATGGAATATTATTCACTCTTCAAAGGAAAGAAAACTCTGACACATGCTACAACATTGAGGACATTAAGCCAGTCACAGAAGAACAAATACTGTATGATTCCACTTATATGAGATAATTAGAGAAGTTAGATTCATAGAGACAGAAAGTAGAATTGTGGGTACCAGGGGCCAGTAGGGGGAGGGGGAAGGGGGAGTTGTTGTTTAATGAGTATGGTATTTTAGTTTGGGAAGATGAAAAGGTCATAGAGATACATACACAATATAGTGACTGTACTTAATGCTCTTGAACTGTGTGTCTAAAAATGGTTAGAGAGGTAGGTTTTATTTTATGTATATTTCACCACAATTAAAAAAAGAAAAGAATCTGGATGCAAAATCAGAGGGCCTGGATTGCGAGGCCCAGATGCCTGCTGCCTCACCCCATCCCACTGGGGTCACTGCCTGCTTGAGGATTATCTTGGGGTGTGTTGGGAAGGGGGTGATGTTGCTAATAAATCTGGAGAGGGAGGCTGTGCTGTTGCCCCTGTGGAGATGCCTTTCCATCCCCCTTCCCAGGAACAGGCTCTGTTCTCTGAGGGGCCTCTTCACTGCTGTTTTGAGCTGGTTTAAGGAGAAGGCAACAAGCTGGCAGAAGGCAGGCTGCGCTCAGCCACCTGCAGGGGACCCAGGGAGTTTTAGGACTTGAGCTCCTCTGGAGTTTAAGTGGGGCCAGTCTGTGACTATCACCAAGCCCTGCTGTGATCTCTGATGTCCTTGTTGCTCACAGGGAGGCTCGGGCACAAGAAGGTCTTTGGAGTCTTCCAACTTTGACATCTACTGATGTGTCCTAACCCTGACAAGCAAATCACAGTTCTGTCTCTGGCCACATCAAAAGCAGGTATCACAGCTGCTTCCAGAGTCAGCTAGGGTGAAAGCAGAGAGGAGTCCCCTCCTCACTCTTGGCTCCTCCAGCAAGGCCAGGCCCCCACAGTAATGGGGCACATGCAGGCCTGCACCCTGACCTTTCTTTCCTGCAGGGAGATGCATGGCTCCAGCAATGATGGTAAGGGACATCTGGGTGTGGTTCTGGTCAGTGGGTAGACAGCACTTTGGCACCTGAGGTCCAGACAATTCCAGTCTCAGGAGAAACCCTGACACTCCCTTCCTGGAGCAGCAATCTTTATCTCATTTGCAGAGAACTCCTGTTGTGGGGCACTCAGTGCAGAGACGCCATCTTGATAACTCTTGGCCAAAAAAGGTGTGTGGCTCCTGGATCTGTGAGCGGGAAGCACTGCTGCGGTGACCTTGCTGGGTTCTCTCCAGGCTGAGTGAGTCCTGTGTGGCAGTTAGCTTCTCCTGCTACCAACGAGGTACCCTGGATCACTGACACAGGTGGATCTGGGCTCAGCTCTGCTGATGCCTGGGGTCTGGAGAGACATGCCTGCTTCCCATTGTCTGTGTGTGGTCCTGGGGGTCCTCCTCAGTGCCCCAGAGAAGCTGTGTCCCTGTCTGCTGTCAGCTCAGCTGTGATAATCAGAACCCACAGGACTGGCAAGAGCAGTGTGGGCCACTCTTCAGCAACGTGCTGCTTCCTGGGCTTGTGGTCCCAGCTCAGCTCCTCAGGGCAGCAAGGACAAGAGTGGGAAGTCAAGGAGTGGGCTGGGACCACAGCTAACCCAGCACCCAGAGCCACTACTGCCTGTCTTGGGCTTTCAAAGTTTGGCACAAGGTTGTATGGGATCCCAGAGCCAGCAAGCCCTTAAGAAATCAATTTCAGTGCCTTCAAATAGCTTGGAGTAGCTTTGTCCCTTATAGATCTTTAGAGAAAAGCAAAAACCAACTCCTGAGGCACTACAATAACTTATATTGGCAGTCTTCCCATATGTGAGGCTGTTTTAAGTATTTTATGTGCAGTGAAAACGCAATGACCCCAATGACCTGTGATTATCCCCATTTTGCAGGAAGCATATAGAGGCTGAGTAATTTGCCTGAGGCCCCACAACTGTAAGTGGCAGAGCTGGAATTCAAAACCAGAAGGGCCAGCTAGAGAATCTGGGAAGTGCTGGCCATGCAGTGTAAAAAATGGAGCACTGCTCCTTACCAAGAATGACCTGGACATGTCCTTTCACCTTTCTGTCCCCTTGATAGACAGAATAAAGTCTGTCCTCCCAGCTTCCTGAATTTGCTGTGAGTCCCAGCAGATACGTTGTGGTCTGGAAGTGGGATGTGCGGGTGAGTGTGGGGTGCTAGGATTATGATTGGTCTTCAAGGGCCTGTTTTGACCTGGCCAGGACTTAGTAATCCTTATAACTGAACAGCTCTGCCCTGGGTATCACTGTGTTTTACTTACTGTTTTAATTGTGACAAAACACAGGTAACACAAAATTTACTATTTTTAACATTTTCAAGTGTACAGTTTCAAGTGTTAAGTATATTCACATTGTTGTACAACCTATGTCCAGAACATTTTCATCTTGCAAAACTGAAACTCTATACCCATTAAACAATAACTCCCCATTCCCCTTTTCCTGCAGCCCCTGGCAACCACCATTCTACTTTGTCTACTTCATATAAATGGAATCATACAATACTTACCTTTTTGTGACTGGCTTGCTTCACTTAGCTTAATGTCTTCAGGATTCATCCATGTTGTAGCACGTGTCAGGATTTCCTTCTTTTCTCAGACTGAATTCCATGGTATGTAGAATTCACCGGTGAACCTATCTGGGCCTGGTGCTTTCTGTTTTGGAAGACTACTTTTTTATTGATTCAACTTCCTTAGTAGATATAGGGCTATTCAGACTGTGTGATCTTGGAAGATTTTGTTTTTCAAGGAATTGGTCCACTTTGTCTAGACTATGTCTGGGCATCGAGTCTTTTCATGTCCATGGGATTTGTATTGATTCCCCTTTTTTTACTTCTGATGTTAGTGACTTTTATCTTCTCTTTTCTTTTAGTTAGCCTAGCTAGAGTCTTATTGATTTTATTCATCTTTTCTAAGAACCACATTTTTGGTTTTGTTGATTTTCTCTATTGACTTCATATTTTCAATGTTATTGATTTATACTCCAGTTTTTATTAATTCTTTTTCTTCTTTTTACTTTGGATTTAATTTATTCTTGTATTTTTAGTTTCCTAAGATGGAAGCTTAGATGATTGATTTAAATGAACTTTTGTCTTGGTGAATTTTCCATGTGAGCTTGAGAAGAATGTGTATTCTTATGTTGTTGAACGAAGTATTCTATAGATGCCAATTATATCCATTTAATTAATAGTGCTGCTCAGTTCAGCTGATTTTCTGCCTGCTGGATCTCTCCATTAGTGACAGAGGGGTGATGAAGTCTTGAACCATAATAGTGGATTCATCTATTTTCCCTTGCAGTTCTATCAGTTTTTCCCTCACATATATCAATGCTGTGTTAGGTGCATACCATTGCAGGCATAAGCCACATTTTGTTTATCCATTCATCTGTTGATAGACACTTGGTTCACTTTCATGTATTTTTTTTATTGTGAACAATATAATTCATTTGTATGTATAATTGACCCTTGAACAATGTGGGTTTGAATTCTGCACGTGAGTGAACCCATGCAGTTCAAACCCATGTTTTCCAAAGATTAACTGTATATTCTATCAGCAATTGGGAATCTGTATATGTGGATGGTTGACTTAAGTTATATGTGGATTTTTGACTGTATGATCCCCTAATCCCACATTGTTCAAGGGTCAACTGCATATATCACATTTTGTTTATCCATTCATCTGTTGATGGATTGCTTTCACATTTTGGCTATTGTGAATAATGCTCCGTGAACAGGTGTGCAAATATCTCTGTGAGACCCTGCTTTCAAATCTTTGGGATATATACCCAGAAGTAGAATTGCTGGACCATATGGTAATTCTATTTTTAATTTTTTGAGGAATATTCATACTATTTTCCATAGTGCTGGTACCGTCTTACATTTCACCAAAAGTGCACAAGAGTTTCAATTTCTCCACAGCCTCACCACCCTTGTTTTCTGCATTTTTAAAAAAAATAGTAGCCATCTTAGTTGGTGTGAGGTGGTATGTCACTGTAATTTTGATATGTATTTCCCGAACGTTTAGTAATGTTGAGCATCTTTTCACATGTGTATTGGCCATTTGTATGTCTTTTTTGGAAAAATGTACATTCAGGTTCTTTGTCCATTTTTTAATTGGGTTGTGTTATGCTGTTGAGTTTTAGGAGTTTCTTATATTCTTCATATTACTACCCGATGTGTACCTGGACATAAAGTGGATACATGATTTGCAAATGTTTTCCCCCATCCTGTGTCTTGCGTTTTTACTCTGTTGATACTTTGTTTTGTTTTTGATGTTTTTTTAAATATATTTTATTGATTATGCTATTACACTTGTCCTAATTTTTCCCACTTTGCCCCTCCACCTGGTACCCCTCATTCCTCCAGCAGTCCACCCCTTAGTTCATGTCCATGGGTCAAGCATGTAGGTTCTTTGGCTACTCCATTTCCTATACCGCTCTTAACATTCTCCTATCTATTTTGTACCTACAAATGTGTACTTCTTAATCCCTGCACCTTTCCTTCCATTCTCTCACTTCCCCCTCCAGCTGATAACTCTCGAAATGATCTCCATATCTGATTCTGTTTCTGTTCTGCTTGTTTGCTTAGGTTTGTTTTAGATTCAATTTTTGATAGTGGTGTATTTATTGCCATTTTAATGTTCATAGTTTTGAATCTTCTTTTTCTTAAAAAAGTCCCTTTAACATTTCATGTATAATAAGGCTTTGGTGATGATGAACCCCTTTAGCTTTACCTTGTCTGGGAAGCACTTTATTTGCCCTTCCATTCAAAGTGATGGCTTTGCTGGATAGAGTAATTTAGGTTACAGGTTCTTGTTTTTCATCACTTTCATCACATCCCTTCTTGCCTGCAAAGTTTCTTTTGAGAAATCATCTGATAGTCTTATGAGAACTTCTTTGTAGATAACTCTACTTTTCTCTTGCTGCTTTAAGATTCTCTCTTTATCTTTAACCATTGGCATTTTAATTATGATGTGTCCTGGTGTGGTCCTGTTTGGGTCCAGCATGTTTGGGACTGTCTGTGCTTCCTGGACTTAAATGTCTACTTCCTTCACCAAAGTATGGAAGTTTTCTTTCATTATTTTTTCAAATAAGTTTTCAATTTCTTGCTTTTTTTTCTTCTCCTTTTGGCATCTCCATGATTCAGATGTCTCAGAGGCTCCTTAGCTTATCCTCACTTTTTGGGGATTCTCTTTTCTTGCTGTTCTGATTGAATGTTCTTTTCTTCCTTATATTCTAAATCATTAATTTAATTCTTGGCTTTATCCACTGCACTGTTGATACCCTGCAGATTTTTCTTTATTTCGCATAGTGTAACCTTCATTTCTGCCTGGGTCTTTTTTATGCTGCTGAAGTAGCCAATGAGTTCCTTGAGCATCCTGATCACCAGTGTTTTGAATTCTGCATCTGATAGATTGCTTGTCTCCATTTCATTTAGTTCTTTTCCTGGAATTTTGTTCTGTTTTTTCATTTGGGCCATTTGTCTTTGCCTCCTCATTTTGGCAGCTTCCCCGTCTTTGTTTCTGTGTATTAAGTAGAACTGCTTTGACTCCTTGTCTTAGTAGCATGGCCTATTGTAGAAAAGCACAACAGTGAGTTGGATGGGGCAGAGCCCTAGGTAATTGCCAGGGTGGGGCAACATGCATTGTCACTCTGTGGCTCTGTGTGGTGGAGGGCTTAGAGAGGGGACAGTGGATGCCTGGCCTCTGGAGTTTTGTCTGGGAGGAAGCCATCTCCCCATACTTGCCCTGATGCCAAACACTTCAATTTCTCCCCATATGCCATTAGTGCCCTCCCAGCTGTTGCCCTGGGTATTGAAGCCCAGAGTGACTGAGTCTAAGTAAGTTCTAAGTCCATTGCAGGCTCTTTTAAGAGGATACTCCTGAGAATCCTGCAGTTTCTTCTGCTGCCCCAACCCCCACTGGTTTTTATAGCCAGACATTATGGGGACTTACCATCTTGGTGCTGGAACCCTGGGCTGGGTGGTTTGGTGTGGGGCTGGGAACCCTGGCTCCTTAGGAATCCCTCCTGATTTTTATACACCACATGTGGGTGTGGAACTGCCTGTCTCCATGCCTCTTTGCATCTTCCCACCTCTCCGTGTGTCTCTGCATCTCCACCTCTCCTACCCACCTGGATGAATGTGATTTCTTTAATCCCTTGGTTGTCAGACTCCCATGCACCTTCATTTTCTGACAATTCTGGCTGATACTTGTTTTGCAGTCTAGTTGTAATTTTTGCTATGGTTGTATTTACCTATGCCTCTATATCAACCGGAAGTCTATTTGTTTTGATGCAAAAAAGTTTTTAATTTTGTGTAGTCCAGTTTATCTGTTTTTCTTTTATTATCTGTGCTTTTAGTGTCATATCCAAGAAAGAATTGCCAAATCCAATGTCATAGAGCTTTTCCTACATGTTTTCTTCTAAGGGTTTTATAGTTTTAGTTCTTAAATTTATGTCTTCGATCATTTTGAATTAATTTCTGTACATGGTGTAAGATAAGGTCCAGCTTCATTCTTTTGCATGTAGATGTTCCCAATACCATTTGCTAAAAAGGCTGTCCTTTCTCCATTAAATGGTTTTGGCACCCTTGGTGAAATCACTTGACCATATATGTAAGGGCTTATTTCTGGGCTGTCTATTCCATTCCGTTGATCTAAGTATCTGTCTTTATGCCAGGACCACACTGTTTTGATTGTTATAGTTTTATAATAACTGAAAGTTTGAAATCAGGAAAGTGTGATGCCTCCAATTTTTTCTTTTTACATGATTGTTTTGGCCATTTGCTGATTCCTTGAGATTCTGTGTGAGTTATGGGATGCCTTTTTCAATTTCTGCAAAAAAATGCCATTGGGATTTGATAGAGATCACATTAAATCTATAGATTACTACAGGCAGTATTGACATCTTAATAATATTAAGTCTTCCAGTCCATGTAAATGGGATATCTTTTCATTTATTTATGTCTCTTTAACTTCTTTCATCAACAGTTTGTGGTTTTGGGGGTATAAGTCTCACATCTTCATTTAAATTTATTCCTAAGTATTATTTTTAATGCTATTGTACATAGAATTGTTTTCTTAATTTTCCTTTTGGGTTCATTGTTAATGTGTAGACACAAATGATTTGAGTGTTATTTTGTATCCTGTAAATTCACTAAATTCATTTATAACAGGGTTTTTTTTGGGGGGGGTGCATGTAATCTTCAAGGTATTCTATATATAAGAACATGTTGTTGGCAAAAGAGATAATTTTACTTCTTCCTTTTCAATTTGGATGCCTTTCATTTCTTTTTTCTTGTTTTTGTTTTTCCTAATTGCTCTGGCTAGGACTTCTAACACAATGTTGAATTGAAGTAGTGAAAGCAGGCATCCTTGCCTTGTTCTGCTCAAACAAAGGAAAAGCTTTCAGTCTTTCACCACTGAGTATGTTTTCGGTGGGCTTTTCATATATGACCTTTATTGCATTAAGACAGATTCCTTTTATTCCTAGTTTGTTGACACACCACTTTTAAAGCCTTTTCCTTTTTCCTCTGTCCTCAATCCAGATGAGACCATCTTGTCATTTTCCTTCCTATAATAACCCTTCCTGCATTTTAGGGTGGATGCCTGAAAGAAGGCAGCTTTGATTTCCCTTCTTCAGAGAATTTGCCCATAGTTCTCTTCCCTTTTCCATTAATTTATCCACTTACACAACGCAAAGCTTTGTTGAGGCTGTACCACGTGCCAGGCATAGGCATGGTGCTTTCTTTTTCAGGGGAGGTTTCATGCATGTTGTTTCAACCTTCACTGGAGCCATCTGAAATAAGGATTCCTGTCTCTATATTCAGAAGCAGAGGTGCAGAGGGGCTTGCCCAGGCCAGAGCCAGCTCCTACAATTCTTTTGCCCTAATGTATTAGCCCCTGCCATTTCTGTGTCCAGCCTTTAAGCTATGTTGCTGGCCCTGGACAAATGCCTCCTGTCCTTTCTGAGATGGCTGTGATCTAAATGGAAATGGCCCAGATCCAGTTCTGAAATCTTTCTCTCCTTATGTTCACAGAGGTCCTGGGACTATGTCAAGAAGTGCAAAAACAATATGCGTCCAAATCGGGCCTTGGTAGCTCAGCTGTCAGAGTGGGAGACGGTTGTTCTTGGAGACTTCATCACAGATGTCTCGGATCCGCTCTACTGATCTCTGTGGTCCAGCTATGGTCCTGAAGAACTTTGCTTGGGAGCTTCTTGTGGGTAATGGGCCAGGATGTGTAACCAGGTTGATGTAGAAGAAGGACTTTGCTACCTGAAGCCTCTTGTCAGTCTCCTGCATTGGCTTTTCCCAGGCTCCTCGTTCATGCCACATAGCAGGTGCACTCTGCTCAAACTCAGTGAGCATCCCCTTCCCTGCATCATCCGGGACCACTCCCACTGCAATCCGGAGGCAGCCTCTGGAAGAACATCTGGCTGCCAGAACAGCTGCTCCACATGCCCTCCACCCATGACTTGGACCCTTTGAAGGCCGTCTGAGGGGAGCTCTAGGGGTTCCTGCTGCCAGTGGTAGACCACAGGGAGTGTCATAATGCCCACATGTGGGTACAGATTCCCCAGTCGTAGGGATGCCAAGCACAGGCCCCAGGCTCCACAGCTGAGAGATTTCTGTCACAAGGGCACACATTTGCCTCATCCCCAGTCCCAGCATGCCCCACTGCTTCAGGGGTTCGTCACTTGTACAGATTTCCTTTTTTTCCTTTTATTCACTTCTGTCTGGCTGTGTTCACAAAGAAGAGATTCCTACCCACCCCATCTACCATACCCAGGTTTCTATAAATTCCTTAGGTTGCAAATTTTCTTCAGAATGCACTTTGAGCACTGGCAGCACCAACAGAACAAGCCTGGAGTCAGGAGAGGGTACTGATGAAGAATTTAGGATGTCCATCAGTTGTTCATTCAGAAGTTATTCCCTGCTGCCTGGACTGCGGTGGGGACATAGAGAATGAACACCATCTCATCTCTGCAGACGGTTGGATGTTGCCCCTATCCCCAACCGAAGCCCAACCCTCAAGGAGTGGGGTAAGGGTTTTTCTGGCAACACAGGCTTTAGGCAGGGTTTTAGCTGGGACACAGCCTGGGATGGTTGCAAAATGATGGCTCTGTCATTAGGGCCCTCCTGGTAGGCAGGGCAGAGCCTTTGCAAAGTTCGGCAGGGACCTGGTGGGGATTATCCTTGTGTTTTAGGAAGAGCATTCTGGTAACAGTAGCGGTGAGCCTGCAGGCAGGGAGACAGGAAAGAGTTCGCTGTCAAAATCCAAGCGAGGTAAGAGGTTCAGAATTCCCTCCTCGCAGAGGCGTAGCGTCCCAAGAACAGTATTTGAGTCAGGTGTCACTTCTCTGGACTTTGATTTACTTCCAGCATGACGGGCCGGGACACTGCTGGCTGCACTACGCGGTGGGCACACGCACTCGAGCCCAGCAAGGGGCCACCGCCGCCCGTGTTCTTGCCGAGGACAGAAGTGCGAACGGCAATAAATGCACTTTGGCTCTGCCCAGGCCACGCCCTGGTCCCGGATTGGCTCAAGTAGGGGCGGGGCCAGCGAGTTCGCCGATCCAGGCACCTTTCCCATTGGTCAGCGTTGCGGCGCGAGCCCGGAAGCGACGGGAGGGGGGTGGGGCGGAGGCGGTGGAGGCCGAGGCGCCTCGGGCCCGTGGGGGGTTGCTGCCGCGTCCTCTGTCCTCGGCTCTTCTGGCGCCCGGCCTGGCAGCCATGCATCCCACGCCCCCGGGCCCGCTGGGCGACTGCCTGCGGGACTGGGACGAGCTGCAGCAGGACTTCCAGAGCATCCAGGTGAGCGCCATTGCGGGCACCCATTGGCCCCGAGCCATGTCTGTGGCTGGGGGTCAAGGGACTGGCAGCTCGGTGTCAGGCAGCGGGGAGATCGGTGTCAGGGGTTGGGGATCCTGGCGTCGTTTCGAGGGTGGTGAGGACTCGGGTCCGGGTGTCCTGACTGGACTCTCCTCTTGAGCCCACATGAGTTGTCCGACGAGGGCACTTCGCCCTCGCAGCCGCTGCGACCCCGGTGGGACTCAACTGCGCCTGTCTGACCTAGGGCCTCCCGCAAAGGCCTCGGAAAGAGGCTCGGACCCCTACCGCCCTTTCTTCCAGGAATGTGGCCGCTTGAGTCAGAACCGGCCGGGCCCAGTCTTGGGTCAGTCACTCAGCAACCATGCCATGGGCTCCGGCCCTGCGGGAGCCGCAAGCAGTGCTGTCCCGCTCTTCGGGCAGCGAGGTCTGGACTGAGTGCACCAAGGGTGCGCCTCAGGAGGCAGCCAGGTTTGGGCCGGGAAAGTGGTGTTTAGGTGAAGTCCCTGGCCTGGGTGGGGGCCGGCCCAGAGGGAGGGACAGCGCCTATGAAGACAGGTCAGGTCCTGTAGCTGCTGCAAAGAGTAAGGGGTAAGTGGGTGGTGGACCTCATGGACCTGGGCGGGTTAGGAATATATTTGAGATCAGTGGGAAGCCACTGGAGGAATTGGCTAGATCTGGCTTATTTGGCCGCAGTGCTGTTCCGTGGGGAGTCAAGGGAGGAAGAGGCTGCTGGCCTCCTTCCGACAGGAGAGGTGGGGGCTGGGCTTGGGCAGAGGTGGAACTTGCTGGGTTCTGAGGGGGAGAGGTGGCCCCTCCTTGGAGTGAGGAACAAGACCCAGACAGCGGAGAGCTCAGGCAAGTTGGGCTTTTGATTAAGCCTTTGCTTCTCCTGGACTGGTTTCAGTCCCTTCCTCTCCATATTGAAGTCTGCATGCCCTCTGGCCAACCAAACATGCTGCCATTAGTGCTCCTTTCCAAGAGTCCTGAGCAGAGCAAACCTAGTCTCCCAGCCTGGTCTCAGCCTCTGCATGACCTTCCTTACATTTACCCTTGCCCAATCTCCAAGCTGCTTCTCTAGACCCACCCACCAGGGCGAAGTGCTCTGGGAAGCTTTGGGCCAAAGGTACTGGGGGAGGGGTATGGACGGGTCTTAAAGTAGACGGTCCAAGGGCTGAAGCCTAATAACCTTTAATCTGGGAGGAAGATACTGGGAGTGCCAGAGCAGAAGGCATCTTGGACATCCCAAGTTCCCCCTGCACATGGAGGCTGGATAGACAGGAGGATCTGAGAGGGCCAAGGGTGGCTTCAGGCAGCCTGCTTGGTCTAGAAGGTGGACCCATGAGCCTAAAATCCAGACTCAGCTTGGAACAGAGGGGTGGGAACAACTAGTAGATGGGCTGAGACTAAAAAAAAACCTTTAGGTAGGAAGAGGGGTGCTTCTGGAAGAGGGGTGCATGGGAGCTTCTGGGCTTGTCAGAAGAACCCTGTTTCCTTGCCAGCCTTGGGGAAAGAGCAACTTTACGGAGGCCCCTGGGCTGGCACAGCTCGCTGCTTCATTTCCTGCTGAGACCCTCCCAAGGAGCCCTGGAGGAGTCCGAGCCCTGCCCCCTGCCCAGCAGGCTCTGGCTTAGTGGCTCTCCAAGCAGCCTAACCCTTACCCTCAACCCGGTCCTCAGGAGACCCACCGGCTGTACCGCCTGAAGCTGGAGGAGCTGACCAAGCTGCAGAACAATTGTACCAGCTCTATCACTCGGCAGAAGAAGCAGCTCCAGCAGCTGGCCCTTATCTTGAAGAAGTTAGAATCCCCCCTCCCCATGGCCTGCCATGTCTCCCCATATCCCCTCTGCCTTGGTCTGGGGGTGGGTGTCTGACCTGATGGGGCAGAGGGCTGGCGGAGGCTCTGGGAGTGTCCTCGGCACTGCTCCTCCCCTCTCTGGGCCACGTTAGCCCTCCTGCTCCACAGGTGTCAGTGTGGTACTCCTGCTCTGACTCTGGCTTCTGTGGCCCCACCTGCAGATGCAAACCCTCCCTCCCAGTGGAGGTCAAGGAGGCTGCGAAGGAGCTGGAGAGCCAGATCAAGGAGCGCCAAGGCCTCTTCTTCGATATGGAGGCCTATTTGCCCAAGAAGAATGGGTGAGAGCCCTCTCCCAAATTCGGTTTACAGCCAGTCATGGGAGAGACTTCTGAAGTTTGGTCAGCAGATATTCCCTGGGCCCAGTCTGGGCTGAGTAGTCATGCACCCAAAAGGGGAGCAGTCTATCTCAGGGGAGCAGGGAGACAGCTGGGTGACAGTGACAGCTTGCTGTGATCGGGTGTTTTGTGGTGGAACTATAGGGAACAGGGGAGTAAGGGAGGTCAGAGAGCCTCCTGGAGTAGGTGAGGTCTGAGTGGAGTTACAAAGGATGAAGGAATGAGGCAGGCCAACTCAGGAAGGCAGTAACAGCAGGTGTGCTGGGAGGTGAGCGGTCCAGAGGTCGTGAAGGGACCACAGGGGAGCCAGGCAGCAGAGCTCACCTTGAGCCCAGTAGGCTGGGGAGAGTGACCGGTCAAGTAAGTATGCTCTTCCACAACCGAGGAGGATGAGCAAGTACAGTGCAGAACCATGGGCTGAACTACAGCAACAAAAAATCCAGCAGAGATGGCAGGTAGCCAGACAGCTAGGAGTGAGCTTGTCCCAGAAGGCAAAGGAAGGCATGGCCAGCGGCCTCAGAGCAGATGGCTGTGGGGGTCACATTTGGTAATGAAGGGGAAAGGGGAAATGCTTCCTGGAAGTCAGGGTGACCTTGGAGAGAAACACTTTACAGGGCAGTGTGAGTGGAAATTGATATTGGGAATGACAGAAATGAGAAGGCAGCCAAGTTTAGGCCACACTTCAGAGGCTGTGATGGAAAGAGAGACTAGTACTAGCATGAGCGTTGGGGGCGGGGGGCTTTTGCTTGGGTGTATGTATAATTTTGGGTGTATGTATAACAGGACAGACTTGAGTGTATATCTGCCTGCTGAGAGGTGGGGCCAGCAGAGAGGGGAGACCCAGAAAGGGATCACCAAGAGATGAAGGAAACCTGGGAAGATGGAGAGGGCTGGGCATGGGCCCCTGTTGTTTGAGATGGGAGGGGGTGCAGAGATGAGGGTGACAGCACAGGAGAGATGTCAAGTGCCAGGAAGGAGACAGGATGGAGAGTTTGGGGAAAGAGGATTTGTCAGGCCCCTCCTGGGATGGGATAGGGAGCCGGTGGTGGTACTGAGAGACAGCCTGGAAGCCTGGCCCAAGTCCCACTATGCCCCTTAATCTCTTCACAGCCTTGGGCAAGTCCCTTAACCACTCTGAGCCCGTCCATATGGCTTGAGTGTGAACAGGAGCCCATGTATGGGCGCAGCTGCTTAGTACATCACTATGACTCTCTGGGCATCTCGAAGTTTCTCTGGCAGAAAAGGACAAGACAAGCTTAGCTGGTGGGTGTGATAGCATTGCCAGGAGCTGGGAGTTACAGGTTGGCCAGAAGTGGTTGACATATGGAGGGCTTGGGGACTTAGCTGGTTCAGAAAGAGTAGCAGGGTCAGCAGGGCCTGGGAGCCTCAGTGAGGGGAGGGTCCGTGTGGCGAAACAGGTTGGGAGGCTGGGCACTCAGGGGTCAGAATATGACCAGCATTGCCGGGGAGGCCGTTCTGGGTTGGGAAGAGGTCCAGGTGTGGCTGGGGCTTAGGTTGCTGCAGTGCACTTGGGGCTGCAGGTTCTCAGGGGTATAGGGTACTGGCTATAGGGTAGGTGACAGGTGGTAATCATGCACCCAGTAAGTCCACTGCCCAGGCCCACAAGGGCAATCTGAGATGTGGGCCAGGCTTCTGTGGGGCGGGAGAGCCAGGCTGCTGTTGAGGCCCTGAGGTGGGGCAGTGTGGGTGACCATAAGGGGAAGAAGGGGATGTTGGTTTACTTTGGAGCAGGATTTAGGAGCAGGCAGGAAGAAGGGCTGGGCATCAGTGTTTCCCGTGGGGCTGGTGTGCAGCATCCCAACGTCAGCCCTAAGCCAAGGCCATGGGGAGGCTGAGTGGGGGTGGTGGGTGACCCAGGCTATGTGCCCTTTGGCTTCCCTCTAGGTTGGGACATCATCTCACTCTGTCTCCCTCTTCCCTAGGTTGTACTTGAGCCTGGTTCTGGGCAACGTCAACGTGACACTCCTGAGCAAGCAGGCTAAGTAATTGGTTATCATGGGCTGGGTGTCAGTCCTTTCCACTCTGCCCCAGCTATCGTTGAGCCTCGGGGATCAGGGGCTACTCCCCCAGGCCGGCCCCACCAACATCCCAGCCTGTCCCATGGGTGTTACCTCCCCAGGTTTGCCTACAAAGATGAGTATGAGAAGTTCAAGCTCTACCTCACCATCATCCTCATCCTCATCTCCTTCACCTGCCGCTTCCTCCTCAACTCCAGGTGGGTATCCAGCAGCTCAGGGCCAGACCTTATTTTCTCCCAGCTCCACCAGCACCAACCCTATGTCTCCCTCTGCAGGGTGACAGACTCCGTCTTCAACTTCCTGCTGGTTTGGTATTACTGCACCCTGACCATCCGAGAGAGCATCCTCATCAACAATGGCTCCAGGTGGGCAAGGGCCTAACTCCAGCTCCTGCGGGGCAGGGGAAGGGGTACTGGAGCTACCCTAGAAAGTGGTGGTAGGGCGTGGGTGCTGTGGCCCTCAGGGAAGCAGGAACTGGGCTGGGGTGCTGGTTTCTTCCCACATCAGACAGCTCCCTGTCTCCAAGCACCAATCCTGGGGGCTAAGGCCTGCAGGAGTGATAGTAGCTTCCTGATACAGGATCAAAGGCTGGTGGGTTTTCCATCATTATGTGTCCACGTTCCTGTCGGGAGTCATGCTGACATGGTGAGTGGTGCAGCTTGGTTTCCAGGGACTTGGTGGAGGGAGCAGGACAGGGGGAGGTGGCATCCACAAGCTCCCTGCCCCTCTGCTTTCTGCCTTAGGCCCGACGGCCTCATGTATCAGAAGTTCCGGAACCAATTCCTGTCTTTCTCCATGTACCAGAGTGAGTGTCTCAGAGGTCTCTGCTCAGCTCAGGACCTGGGGGAGGGGCAGGGAAAGGACTTGGGGGTCCAGCCCAGTCCTGATGCCCTCAACCCCCCAGGCTTTGTGCAGTTCCTCCAGTATTACTACCAGAGTGGCTGTCTGTACCGCCTTCGGGCCCTGGGCGAGAGGCACACCATGGATCTCACTGTGGGTGAGTTGGATGTGGTCCTCCACTGGGGGTCCTGACCAGGGAGATGGAAAGGGGGTCTGAGTAAAGGTGTCTCTCTCTCCATCACTGGTTATTCTGTGCCCTGCCTCTTCACAGAGGGCTTCCAGTCCTGGATGTGGCGGGGCCTTACCTTCCTGCTGCCCTTTCTTTTTTTTGGACATGTAAGTTGTATGTGTTCCTATCCATCTGGCTGTCCTGCCCCTGCTCTGGCTCAAGCAGGGACCGTGTTCTATGTGAAATCCCCCTCCCTCCCAGTTCTGGCAGCTTTATAATGCGCTGACGTTGTTCAACTTGACCCGGGATCCTGAGTGCAAGGAGTGGCAGGTGAGCCGGGGTCCCTGGAAAGGACACCGGGAGGACTGGGTTTCAGCCTGTCCTAACCCTGATTCCTCCCCTAGGTGCTCATGTGTGGCCTCCCCTTCCTCATCCTCTTCCTTGGCAATTTCTTCACCACCCTGCGGGTCGTGCACCAGAAATTCCACAGTCAGCGGCACAGAAGCAAGAAAGACTGAGGCTGGGTCTTCTTCTGCCCACCAGCTCCAAAAGGGCTTCTGTATCCCATGTGTTGTTTGAGGGGGTAGAGACTCCCTTGTCCAGGAAGGTCTTTTCTGCTCTCCCTAGGTTTTGTGGGCTCTGTGGGCCCTGAAGGCTACACTGGAGAAGACCTGGGCCTGTGTCCCAGTCTGTGGGGAGCCGGGGGCCCGTGGCCTCAATAAAGAAAGAGAGGCACAGAGGTGGCTTGAGGTGTGTGGTCTCCTGAGGATAAGGCAGGGGCCTGGTAGCACTCTCTGCTGCCACAGCACAGGTTCTTGGGGCTCTCAGGTTGGTCCCTCTGGTGTCTGAGTTAGGAAAACCCAGGTGGAGGCCATAGGTCTGTTCAAGGCACATCAGGCAAGTACAGAAAACAGATCTTTATTCCAAGGGCCAGAGGTTATTTAAAATTATTTACACTCATTGAAAATCATGTGGCAGGGCCAACCCCTGCTCAGCTGAGAGAAGAGCTCCTTCTGAACAGCCACTGGGGGCCTGAGGTGTTCACAAAGTGTGGGCCTGGTCAGCCCCTGGCCACCTGCCCTGTGGCCACAGGACTCCGGAGGGCACATTTTGGACCCAGAGTCTTTTTCATTGGGTATGTGTCCTTGGACAAGGCCCAGCAGAACCCATTCAGGAGACTGGCAGAAGGGGAAGGAAAGTGATTACATGGGGAAGCAAGTCTATAGGGCATGAGGCCAGAGCAGTGCTGGGCCGGGGCGATCCTAGCTCCACACATCCAGGGAGTATCGGCCCTTGGTCATCAGTTTCTTGATGTAGTCCACAGCCTGGGTATGCTCCATGGACCCCAGCTCGGCCACAATGTCGTAGAAGGTGTTCTGCACATCTCTCGCCATGTTCCGAGCATCCCTGTGGGGAGGAAGGAGGAAGCACTCAGGGCTGGGCAAGGAGTGTCCCAATGAGCAGAGAGCCTCACCCCTTCAACCCTCTGCCCTCACTCACCCACAGACGTAGATGTGGGCGCCTTCCTCGTGGATCAGCTTCCACAGGTGCTCCCTGTCCCTCTTCAGTAAGTGCTGGACGTAGACCTGAGGGCAGAGAGCAATGCCCATAAGGAGGCCAGTCTCTCAGCCTGCCACCCCGCCACAAAAGCCTGCCCCTTCCTCACCTTGTGGGCCTGCTCCCGGGAGAATGCCACATTGAGCTGGGTGAGGGAGCCCTCCTTATGGAACTGGGCCAGCTCCTCGCGGTATAGGTAGTCCTCATCAGAGCGGCGGCAGCCATAGTAGAGCAGCGTCTCCCCCACCTCCTTACCTGGTGGGGCAGCAGCCAGGGTGAGCACGGACTCCACCCCATCCCTGCCTCCTGCCCACCCCTCAGCGGCGCCCATGCACTCACCCTGCTGCCGCAGCCAGGCCCGCTCCTGAATGAAGCCTATGAAGGGGGCGACCCCAGTGCCGGGGCCCACCATGATGACAGGCGTGGTGGACTTGAAAGGCAGGCGGAACTGGGACTTGCGCACATACATGGGCACCAGGGCCCGGTGGCCATTCTCCCCAGCAGGCTCCTTGGCCCGAAGCCAGCTGGTGGCCACACCCTTGTTGATGCGGCCAGACTTGGCTTCATACTCCACAGCCACGGCACAGATGTGCACAGAGTTGGGGTGGACCTGGCGGAGGGCAGGAGTGAGCTCAGCAGCAGTGCCCAAGGCTCCTTCCTGTCACCCGAGTCACCTTGGTACAGGGTTCCTGCTCAGGCCTTCTTCATGGTGCCCAACCTTCAAAAGCCCCTTTCCAGCAGCTTTCCTGACTGGCTTTTGGCACTGGGGCCATACACAACATGCAGCCTGACAGCCCTGCCTACCGGGTACACTGGCCAGTGAATCGAGTGAACTGTCCAAGGTGTTTGGGTCCGAGTGGGGACTGTGCGCAGGCCTCCCTCGCACCTCAGAGAAGCCAATGCTACGCTTTCTCTAAGTCGGCCAGGCCTGCCCTCACCTTGGAGGATGAGGCGATGGAGTAGTAGCGGGCCTGCAGCCGAGGCAGCAGCTCACACAGATGGTCGATGGGGGGCCGCAGGGATGGGTAGTCCTGCAGGATGGCCAGGATGTGCCTCCGCGCCTCTACCACCCAGCTCAGGTACAGCTCCTGGGGAAGACAGAACTTGGGGTGAGACACATGTGAGGGGACATGGTGATCTAGGGGACAGGCCTGAAGTGGGACCCAAGCCACTCAGAGTGGCTGAGGGGTGGCCTGGGGGTGCTGGCTGGGAGCTGCAGCCCAGAGCTGAGGTGGTAGAAGTCTGGGTGCTGGTGGTAGGAATGGCCAGCTTACCTTGCCTTCGCCCGAGGAGGACGCCATCTTGCGCAGGTGCTCCTGCTCCGAGGGCGCCGAGGCGTACTGGGCCAGCTCGTAAAGCACGTTGGTGCGCGGCGGGTTGGTGATGTCCAGGTAGTAGGTGAGGGCTGTGCGGTAGGTGGTAGGGCAAGGGAATGGGTGCTTCTTGTTGGATTCCTCTGCAGGGACAGAGAAAGGATTTTGGGTGAGTAGGGTGCCATGGGATTGGGGTGGGGGAAACCAAAGGCTACTCTGCAAGGAGCAGGCAGCACAGCTGGCACTGGAAGCGGGGCCAGCTTTTTGTAGGGCATCCCTGGCCCTGGGGGCTGAGCCTCAGGCTTTTAGCCAGCCTTAGGCTTCAAGCCGGGGAGGCAGGCCTCATCAGAGGGCTGGGGTGGGGGTTGGGGTGCTGGCACTCACTATTGCCGTTCCAGGAGAACGAGACCCTAAGTGGCTCAGAGAGAGGGCTGCAGAGGTAGAGCTGCCCTGGTGTGTCCTGCCTCCCCGCGGGCTGGGCCCGGTCTACTGTGGAGGCCCCAGGCTCATGACCACGAGATGCTAATACTGGAGCTTTCAGCTGCGATGGCAGGGCCCCGCCATGTCAGTTTCTGTACTTAGACACACCTGGAGGTCTACACAGGGCACAAGGCTGAGCTCTCTTGGGGCAGCACCCTATACGTCCCATGTGCAGCCACTGGCACAAGCCCGACCGCCAGCTCTTGCTGCAGCCTTCTGCTGCCACCAGTTGACAGGTGGCTTTACTGACCTCCTCCCCACAGTCAGGCCAGAGCAGGGCACAGAGAAGGGCCCCGCCTGCAAACTGCCGAAAAGCATCTCCACCTCTAGAGGAATGACTGTGGGGGCTGTTTGTGGGGGGCTGTGCACAGGTGAGCCTCCGCAGAACTGCCGGGAGGGTTGTCGAGGACACAAACGGAGGGCCTGGTGCAGGAAGGGCTCGGCATTTAGGGGTTTGGGTCTATTTTTTGGAGAGGTTTGAACTTCTTACTGAAGTATAACCTTCATGAAGTATACAAGGTATACATAAATAGCTTAATGGATTTTCACAAACTGAACATCCTTGCGTTCACACAGATCAAAAAGCTGGGTGTTCCCAGCACCCTAGAGCCCTCTGCTGAACCTGGAAACAACCCAGGCTTCCCACTACAGGGGCAGGTGTGTGAGTGCATCTTTTCTAAGCTACGCATCTGCCTTTGGCACTTCTGGGCCTCTGCACCACTTTCTGAGCAGCTCTCAGCAGGAAAGGGCCCCCAGCAGGGGTTCAGTCTCTCACGGTCCAGGGACATAACTCCACAGGAGAGACGGACTCAGTGTGTGTTCACTGTAGGATGTGTTCACTTACTGCTTTCATGACGAACTATAATCAACATACATCAACTCCCTTCTGTGCTGTTCTTTTAAAGGGCTGGTGAGGAGGAGTGGCTAGGCCGTGGTGACTGAGGACGGGAGTGGGGCAGCGCCAGGTAGGGCTGGGCCCCATGTGGGTAGTCAGTGGGGGGTGCCAAGGGGGTCACAGCAAGAGGCCAAAGCCAGTCCTTCGAGACTCTGGAAAAACCCTGCACCACATTTAGTGCCTCTTGCACTCTTAGCACTCTGCATGGCCCTGGAGGGCTGTTGGGGTTGCTGACTCTGATCCCCAAGTTTACAGGTGCAGAAATGCAGACCCTGGTGCCAGGAGCAGGCAGCCCCAGGCCCTCAGGGCCCTGGCCTATAGTCCCCTCTTCCCCACAGGACATGGGGGCTGGTTAGGCACCTCTCTTTCCCTCAAAGGACTATGCCAGCAAGGCGATGGAGGGAACCCCAAGGTAGGAGGCCAGACTCCATAGACACTTTTGCTCCCCACCCCCTGAGCTGCTACGGGACCAATAACCATGCCATCTCGGGTGCAAGGGTCCTCTCGGGCACCAGGGCTTCAGGCCTAAGCAGCTCAACCTACGGGCCTTGCCAAGGGACCTGTTTCCCTCCAGCCGCCTCAGGCCCAGGCAGGCAAGCAGGGGTGGTCTTGATTCCAGAACTCACCATCGAGATTGTTCAGGGATATGACAACATCCAGGTCGGCACCCAGGATCTCGCCAATCTGGTTGACCAGGGCAGAGTCATTGGCTGGGTAAACAGCTACGTGGTCACCAGATTCATACCTAGGGGGAAGGTGTAAGGTTCAAGAGGAGGGTGGAAGGCCTCTATACCCAGACCAGGAGGCCTGGAGGGAAGGTGAGGGAGAGGGGGTGGCTGGTACCTGATTTTAGAATCTGAGATGTCCAATTCCAGGTGCATGAGGTGTCGCTCAGTTCCTTGGTTCAGCTTCCGGTTGGTAGTGACGACAGCCAAGAATGGATTCTTGGCATCAAACGGGCTGGGTGGGGAGGAGAGCAGCTCAGTGATTGGCCAGGCCTTCAATCTGAATCTCCCTTTCCCAAAGGGACCCTTCTGGTTTCAGAGGACACTGGGAACACCAGAGCTGGCCTCCAAGGGCCACGAGGAAACCTCTCCAATTATGTGAAGGGCTTCCCCAGCCTGATCTCAGGCAGTGCTCCTGACAACCCACAAAGTGGGTGGGGCTAGGTTATCAGTGTCTCCATTTATAGGCACATCAGGGGCCCAAGAGAGGATCAGTATGTTTTTGGACAAAAAGTCCAAATATTGAGGCAGAATTTAAGAAAGTGTGCCCTTTTGCCAAAAAGTTCAACCTAGAACTTGCTATGTCCTCGTTCAGGAACCAGTATGTACACCCCACCCCAGGATATTTACAAAGCAAAATGTCAGAGCAAATTAAGTACAGACTGAGCAAGCGCCAGTCTCTCAGAGGCTGTGCCCTGGACTTAGGGACCACGGGGTGGGGAGGGGTCCTGAGGGCCCTGAGCACAAAGCAGCCTCCCATCTCTCTGCTCGGGGCCTCATGCCCTCCTGTGCGGAGGAGACCCCCGCCATGCTCACTTCTGGACAGCGGTGGAGCTAAGGATGCCCCGTGGGATGGGGTCTGCATGCGTACACAGGACCACCAGCTGTTTCCTGTCCACAGGCGCCTAAGAGAGGGGTGTGCCAAGGGCCCCAGGGCCGGGCCCCC